GGGGGGGGGGGTGCTGTGGAGGAAAGATGGAAGTGAGGAAAAGCAGACAGTGGAGAGAAGAGTCAGAACCCCCAGGGAGCAGCTACGGGGGGTGGAACATCAAAAGCAGACAGAGGACTGGAAAGAAGGAAATGTTAGGATGGTGGATACCCAAGGAGTGTCCCAAGAAGGGGAGAGCAGCATAAAGAAGAGGTGGGTCCATCCAAGTGCCCACAGGAGGCCCAGGGACACTAAGGAGCTCCCCACACTCAAATCCCCACTGAGCAGTCAGGTGGATGGCGTGACCCCATCAGAGGGGCAGAAAGAAAAAGAGAAGCCAGAGCAGGCAGACAGGAGGTGGCACAACATGCTTCTCACATCCCCAGGCCTGGACTCTCGGGCAATCCCTGGATGCCCTGGGCTCTGGCCTGGGAGCCGAGACACCACGGCCCTCGTCCACCACGGCCCTTGGCGCAGAAATGCTTTGGTTCTCAGTTTGAGGCTCTGCCAGGCCCAGTGCTTCTCGTGTGAGGCACGAAGCCTTGCAAGGAGTGAGTCAGGGATCTGAAGTGGGACTTTGGAACCATGGCTGGGGTTCACGCTTCCTGCTCCACCACTCACTGGTCCCTGTGACCTATGGCAGGTTATGGACCCTTTTTCCCAGCCTGTTTCCTCACGCCTCCCTTGTCCCGTGTAGGTTTGCATGCAGTCATGGCCTGTAGCCTTAAGCTCAGTGCCCGGGTCACAGCAGATGGTCACTAATCAGTCCCCTCTCTGGCTCCACCCAAGAACTGTGGTCTTAGACTCTGGCCCTTGTTTTCTACCTGCTTTCTGCCTACCCTGTTGCCAGAGGATCTTCCCCAGGCCTGACTCAGATCACAGTCTCCCCACCCACTGTTCAAACACCTCCCGGGGTTCCCCATGACCTGAGGTGCTCCTAGCCCAGCATTCGTGGCCCTCCAAGCCCCACCCTGCCTACCTCTCCTGCCTTCCCTCACAGCTCAGCCATCACTCACCTGTGCTCCAGACAAACCTCTACTCGTCCCACATCCCTGCCCCTAGAAATCCTACCATTCTGGCACCCATATCCCTGCCCCTAGAAATCCTACCATTCTGGCAGGCCCAGGTCAGAGGAGTATTTATGATGTCCCTCCCCACAAATCAGACTGTCAGCACAAGACGGAACTCATGAGGAGGCTGAGGTCCAGAGAGGGGCAGTGACATGAACTAATGAATTGGTGGATGAATGGATACACGAACTAATGAAGGAATGGACAGATGGATACATGAACTAATGAAGGAATGGACAGATGGATACACAAACTAATGAAGGAATGGACAGATGGATACATGAACTAATGAAGGAATGGACAGATGGATACATGAACTAATGAAGGAATGGACAGATGGATACATGAACTAATGAAGGAATGGACAGATGGATACATGAACTAATGAAGGAATGGACAGATGGATACATGAACTAGTGAAGGAATGGACAGATGGATACATGAACTAGTGAAGGAATGGACAGATGGATACATGAACTAGTGAAGGAATGGACAGATGGATACATGAACTAGTGAAGGAATGGACAGATGGATACATGAACTAGTGAAGGAATGGACAGATGGATACATGAACTAGTGAAGGAATGGACAGATGGATACACAAACTAATGAAGGAATGGACAGATGGATGTATGAACTAATGAAGGAATGGACAGATGGATATACAAACTAATGAAGGAATTGAACAAATGGATACATGAACTAATGAAGGAATGGACAGATGGATACATGAGCTAGTGAAGGAATGGACAGATGGATACATGAACTAGTGAAGGAATGGACAGACGGATACATGAACTAATGAAACTGGATGGATGGTGGAAGCAACAGCTCTGAGCTGCTCCACCGTCTTCGGTGCGGGGATGTTCACAGTCATGGGACAGACAACGTCCTGGAAGACTGGTGAGCACCCCTCCCCCACTTCGTGAGTCAGTGGCTTCTGCAGTAGGGACCTGCCCTGTGGATTTTCAACCAGGGCCCCAGGTGACCTTTGATCTGGGAAATACTTGGAACTAGAGTGAAACCCAGTGGGGAGAGTATACAGGCAGACACCTGGGCCTGTCACTCCCTGGCAGGGGACGTGGGTACACACTGCCTGGGCCCCGTTCTCTTGTTGGTGACATGTTATGATGAGCCCGGCCTTCTGGAAGCTGAATTCCTGGTTCAGGAAACCTTCACTGAGTGCTCTCCGCTCTGAAATTAACGATGCTAATACAGTCCCTAGGTTCTCAGTACTGGTCACAGTAACAACCATAATAATAGTGCCAGGGTCGGGCGGATCCGGACACTGCATCTCAGCCCTCAACTCATCAGCTGTGTGACCTGAGCAAGCGTCTTAACCTCTCTGATCCCGGGCCCCATCCTCTGTAAAATGAAACAGAGAATATTCTTGTCTAGAGGCCTCACAAGGAGGTGAGGAAAGTACCTGGCCCAGTGCCAGCACGATGAAGGCAGATAGACAAACGTCCCTTCCCCCAGTCCCCTCCCCAGTTCTTTCTCGGAATTTGAGAGTCAAATTCCACCGGTGTTTGACACACCTGCCCCATTACACTGACTCAGGGCGGGTCGCACAGCCCTGAGGTCCCGCTGGCTGGTGCCTCCCCACCTGCCTGGGCTTCAGCAGGTACCCCCGCCCCTCCCCAGCCCTGCGCCAGAAAGCCCTGGCTGCTAACTGGCCACCGGAGCCTCACCTTACAAATGGGGAACTGAAGCCCAGAGAAGGTCTTTAACCTCCCAGAGAGCACACAGCCTGCCCTCCCATGCCCAGCATCTCTGTCCTGAAGGGTTGTTGGTACCTGACTGTTAAGTAGACCCTTCTCCCCAGCTTCCCCTTCCTTCCCGAGTGACCCCCTCCCCCCTTCCCATGATATCTGTCTCACATTGAGTCCTGTGGTGCTGAAAAGAGCCCCCCAGGACCTCGGGCTCCGGGAAGTGATGAATTTCCCCGGAATCTACCTCACGGTGAATCAGCCCTCAGATGTCTGAGACCCTGGAGGCTGTCTCTGGAATGTCAGACAGCTCCCCTGGGGCTGTGTATGTGTGAGCTGGGCCTGAGCCAGCTCTTGGCCGGGAAAACAGGCCGAGTTGTTTGCAAACACAAAGGATGTCAGCAAGGGAAGGAACGTGACCCACAGCTTCCGTGCACTTCCCCATCCCCCCCAGGCCCCCGGCCCTTTCTCCGCCTGCCGGCCAGTCCCCTTTCCTCCACGCACAGGATTTTGAGGGCCTGTGCCCTCACCACTCAGGGGGACCCCTGGACCGGACCGGATAGGCACCACCTGTTAGAAACTCAGAATCCAGATTTCAGTGATATGCCCCAGGGGAGTCCTAAGCTCCAGTGCTCTAGGGTTTTTTGTTTGTTTCTTTCTTTTTTCTTTCATTTGCAAAAGTCAGTTAAATACAGGTCCCACCTTGTAGCTCTACTCAGTTCCTGTAAGGACTGTAACAAAACCATAAACTTCGTGGTTTAAAGCCACACTAATTGATCATCTTACAGTTCTGCAGTTCAGAAGCCCTCTCAAGAGAATGAGAGATGAGACTGAGAATTCCAAGTGTCTAATCATGGCTCCATCCAGGAGCCCACCCAGATTTGACTCAATAGAGGAAAAGATGCTCCCCATGCCGGATCACTTAGGAAATTACAAGGGTGTCAGGAGCTCCACGTCAGGAGCCGGCGACAGAGACAGATATTTTTCTATCATTCCACACACTGCTCACCCACGTCAAAACCACTCAAGGAATCAGATGGGCCTTTGGCACAGACCTAAACAGTTAGGCATGAGGAGGGACTCGGTACCCTCTTCTCATTGTGTAGGTGATCTGTTTGAAACTCAGAGAGGGACAGTGGTTTGCCCAAGGTCACACAGCAAGTCAAGGAGGGGCCACCTCCCAAGTTGCCCAGGACCACCCCCCCCTGGAGGGCCTGGGTGACGGACATGGGGGGTGCATGTCTTCCTGGCCAGGTCCTGCAGCTCCTGAAAGGCAAGCTGGTGGTGGGTCACGACCTGAAGCATGACTTTAAGGCTCTGAAGGAGGACATGAGCGGCTACACCATCTACGACACGGCCACCGACAGGCTGCTGTGGTCTCATGCCAACCTGCAACGCTGCCAGCGTGTCTCCCTCCGGGTGCTCAGCGAGCGCCTCCTGGGAAGGAGCATCCAGGTGAGGCCCCCCTCCCTTCCCAGCTGGGGGCAGCCCATCCATCAGAGGCATCGCTAGGAGCATCTGCTCTAGGGGCCTGGCCCTTCCCCTCCAAGGCTCTAAACCCCACCAGTGGCCACAGAGCAAGTATTTGGCACCAGAAACACTGATGCCCCCTGGTCCCGAGGGGCTGTGTACCTTTGAGAGGGCTTCCAGGTCAACAGGTATTTATTACACAATTCCTGAACCGAACACTGGGGACATCAGGTGAGCAAGACCCTGTCTTTGAGGAACTCTTGGTTCAATGGAGGGTAGCCCCTGCCTGGGTCATTGGAACACACTATGGGGAGTGTCCCATGGAGGGAAGGGCAGGTGTTCTGGGGGCACAGATGACAGGTGGGTGGCAGGACAGGAGACCAGATCCAGGAGGAGTCTGAAAGGTGACTGTTAGTGGAGGAGGGCGGGAGATGGAGTGCGGGAAGGGACAGCAGGAACCCCAGCCTGTGGAGCTGGGGAGCAGGAGTCAGGTAGGAGGCAGAGATGGGCCTGGGTTTGGGCCCCTCTGATAGCCTCCAGGGATCAAGGACAGAATGGCCAGCACACTGATTCACTGAATGACGCCTTTTCAATTTGCTAAGCAAGTGGCATTTTTGAAACATCTCTGCAATATACTCCTCGGTGCCCTGGAGCACCCTGCACAGAGCTGCCTCGGCAACTCGGTGTCCTATAGCAAGTCTGCAGTGCCCCCTGCTGGTCACCGAGTATAAGCACCTTGAGGGCCAGGATACTGGATGTTGTGCTTGGCTTTGTTCGTGCCCTTGTGCCCCCAGTCCCAGGGCTAATGGGCAGAGCTAGGCCTGCTCCAGGGGACCTGGAAGTCGAGGTGTGAGCAAGGAAGGGCTGGTCACACGAGGCCTCTGCATCCAGCCCCTCCCCAAGTCCCCACTCTGTCTGTGTGTCTGCAGAACAGCCTGCTGGGCCACAGCTCGGTGGAAGACGCCAAGGCAGCCATGGAGCTCTATCAAATCTCCCGGAAAATCCGCGGCCACTGAGGGCTGCCCACGGGCCGTGTCGGCTCCATTCAGCCCCTCCTCCAGGGAACGGACATCTCTTCAGGACAGCAATGCCCTTCAATGCCCTTGTTTTTGTAAAATTCATCTTTTGTAGTAAATGCCTCTATTATTTTCCCGACTCCATCATCGGTCCTATTCTTGTCTTTTCCTTTCTTCTCTCTGAGCCGGGGAACGGAGGATGAGACCCAGTCTGTGAGGTGCTGAGAAGGCCACAGAGACTTGAGTCAGGACGTGGGGGACAAGTGTCCATTCCTTAGTATCTTGAATCCTGTGGGTTCTGTGATTTCATTAACAACCCCAGCCACTGCCTCCCTTTCCCTGTGGCTTCCATGCTCAGAGGGGTGGCATTATTTCCCCAGGGAGGGCACCTGGCTCAGAGGTCCATCCATCCCATCTTGAAATTGGTATATCCGCAACGGTGAGATTCAAAGCGAAGGCACAGGAAGTGTGATGGCTGCCACCCTGGTGACCTTCACTGAGTCCTCCCTCTTATTTGTTAAGGAAGGAAGGAGAGCCAGTGGACCCTGGAGTCACAGAGAACGAGGTTGCAGTCTCCTGGTTCTGCCATTTGGTAGCTGCCCGATGTAGGGCAAGTTACTTAACCTCCCTATGCCTCAGTTTCCCCATCTGTAAAACGGGAAACTCGGACAATTCATAGGATTCGTGGGAGATGCTACACCCATCACCACACCTGTCAGAGCTCAAGCACCGGCCACACGTCAATGACTGGTGGTTGGTCTCTGGACTATCTGAGGATCCAGGGGAGCCCGGGAAGAGCAGCTGGACCCAACTGGGCCTCTGAAGGAAGTATCGTGTGCAGGAGAAGGGTCCACCCTCGGGTGACGACTGCCCATTAGAATGGGCTACAGAGCTGTTATTTTAATCCATGCCTGGGTCTCACTTTAGGCCCACTAACCAAGAATAGTTGTTCTTTTTAGGTCATTTGAATGGTCCCAGGTGCTTTCTTAAGCAGTCCCAGTACATGAGCACAGTAATTCTCACACCTGGCCGTGNTTTAGGTCATTTGAATGGTCCCAGGTGCTTTCTTAAGCAGTCCCAGTACATGAGCACAGTAATTCTCACACCTGGCCGCACACCAGCATCACCTGGAGGGTGCTGGGCCTGCCCCCAGAGTTTCTGACTCTGCAGGTCAAGAGTGGGGCCCCAGAATCTGAATTCCTACCCAGCTCCCAGGGGATGCCTGGGAGGCAGCGGGCGCTCTCAGGGTTCTCTGCTGCCCTCTGCTGTTGCATGAGAGTGCAGCTGCCTTGTCTGGCCGTGACTGGCCACAAGGTGGTGCCCTCAGACCGTGTATCAGCCAGGCAGCCCCGGGCAGAACCAGCATGACCTACACCGACCGGCCTGAGCTGCGAGGGGCCATGTCTGCAAAACCCCGGCAGAGGGTTGCTGGAAGGGATCCTCTCAGCCGCCCTCATTCAGCCACTGAGCAGGGGCTCAGAGAGGGGTTGGGGCAGTGATGCAACCTGGCCTGGAAGGTAACCCCAGGCTGTCCAATTCCCAGAAAGTTTCTTTTCACTGCCCCAGGGTTCCTTAAAATGAGAGATGAACCAGGTAGGATCCCCAAAGGAAATCTAACCTGACTTCCTGCTTCTGGATGTGATGCTTGGATGCCCCCAGGGGAGAAAAACCACAGAGGCTGTGACCTACGAGAGCACCTGCTTCACCTCTGAGGGGCTCCATCAAAGGGGCTGAGGAGAATTGAGATCTCATAGGCAAGGTGTCCAGCAGGGACCCATAAGCAGCACCTGCCACTACTGATCACAATAACAAAGAGCTGCCTCTGGGCCGCCCCTTGAGACTCCTGACCTAGCTGGGTCCTAACAGAAATAGTCGAGCCCTGCAAATGTTGGGTTCCCCAGGATAGTTTTCAGCCTCCTACCCCCTCTCTTCTCACCCCCCACATGGTGACCTGCCACCCATCTTCAAATAATTGTCACGACCCTCATCTCTACCCCAAGGTGCCAACTTAAATGTCCCCAATTTCTTCAACATTTTTCCACTTATGCCGAGGCCCTCTCCATTCCCCCTCTGCCCCACCCACCACTTCACCTCCCTCACCTGCCCACCCCTTCTCTGCCCACGCTCCCCAGCCCCGTTCCCAGTGGATGCGGAACAGGTGGAGAGGTAGACGAACACCAGGGCTCCGCTGAGCCAAGGGAATGAGCAGCATCCCCCAGTCCAGGGCTGGCTTTGGAAAGACTTGTACAGTCACAAGGTTTGGGCACCAGGACGGGATCATCGCCTGCTACCTAACTCTGAAGGCACCAGGGAGAATTTGGTGGGGCGGGGAGCACTGGGAATGACAGTCTAAAAATAGCCCAGCCTCACTGAGCACACCCGAGTCACCTCTGACTCAGACCAGTCTGCTGCCTGCGGAGTGAGAGGCTTGGAGTGGTCACCTGCTCCCCTCAAAACCCTTAGCCTCCCCCTCATCTACCGGCCCAGCCGGGAAGGAGAAAGGTGCTTCAGCTCAGGGACAGGACTCTCTACCCTGACCTGCTCAACATCTTCAGGCCCCTGCTCCCCACTGTCCCCCACCCCCCTCCGAAGGCCACTGTCCCCAGGGTGAGGAGCCCGTGCAGTCAGGGTTCCCAGAGCGGTAACAGACGCTGCCCACTTCCTGCCCGGAGTGTCGGGCTGGGCTGGGCTGGGTCGGGCTGGGCCGGGCTGGGCCAGGCTCCTCGGCCAAGAGGCTTACTCATTTGTGAACAATTTCTCCTCTATATGGAAAGAGCATATGTTCGTCCTGCTGGGGAAAGGCGGGTTTTGGGTAGCTTTGCAGAGGCATGGAGGAAAATGCAAACCATCAGCCTGGCCCCAACACCCCGATCCCCAGCGAGGTGCTGTGTGATCCTCGGCTGAACCGCTGGCCTCTGTCCCCAGGTGCGAGGCGAAGGAGGCCCGGGGAATGCTGCTCACATCTCAGCTTTAGGACACTGAGCTGGTTGGTCCCTCGATCAGGGCTGGGTGTCCTCATATCTTCCTTTCCAGCTCCATCCCCCAGTGTTCAGGGCCCACCACCTTGATGGCTTAAAATAACAGTTCATTTTCTCGTTCTGGAGGCCAGGTGTCTATAAGGAAGGATGGCGTCCCGCCGTCCTTCTGAGGCACTGAGAAAGGATCTCCCTTCCCTCTTCTAGCTTCTGGCAGCTGCTGGCCTTCCGTGGTGTCCCCGGGCTCGTGGCTATGTCACTCCAGTCTCTGCCTCCTTCTTCAAGCAGCCTTCTCCTTACTGGGGGATGGTCTGCAATCTCCCTTGGCCTCTCTTTTAAAAGGCCACTTGTCATGGCATTCAGGGCCACCCAGATGACCCAGGATTGGCTCCTTATCTCGGGGTCTTTAACTTCGTCACACCTGTGTCAGGTGACATCCACAGGTCACAGGGACTGGACATGGATATGTTTGGGGGGAATATTTTTCAGCCCGCCAGAAGGAGTGATTGGATTTAAGGAAATGAAAATTTAGGGGCTCTTGTCCAGGGGAAATTCAGAAAGGGACGAATGAGAGCAGAAAAGGGATTGTTACATAACAAAGAAACGGGACCTGAATCAAGCAGCAAAAAATTTTTTGGTGGAATTTTTCAACAAAGCTCATACGCTCAAATTTGTGCCACAAAATCTTATTTTCTGTGATTCCCTTATCACTTTGATTAGTGCCCCAAAAAAGGAGACATTTGTGTAGATTGTATAGATTTTAGGAAACAAAAAGATATAGAGAAACAGACTTAGAGTAAATTCAAGGAAAACCTGAGCTACACATTTACATTCTGACAAACATAGTTTGAGATAACACACATCATAAGAGACAAAGGTATAGCTCATGGATTGATAAAAGGAACAAAAAGAAGACATACAAACACAAACATATATAAGCCTAACAACACAGCCTTTGAATATATAAAGCAAGCAGTCCCATGGAACTTTCTGCACTGCCCAATATAGTTGCCACTAAGAACATGTGTCCATTGAGCACTTGAAACGCGGCTAGTGCATCTGAGGGATTGAATTTTTAATTCTATTTATATATTTTTTAATGTTTTTGTTTATTTCAGAGAGAGGAAGGGAGAGAGGGAGGGAGAGAGAAACATCAGCTGCTTCCTGCACGGTCCCTACTGGGGATTGAGTCGAAAAGCCTGACCAGGAATCAAACTGGCGACATCCAGGTTCACAAGACAAAGCTCAACCAACTGAACCACACCGGCCGGCCTAGAAAACTGTCTTTATGTGCCTATGGTTAAGTAAAGTTCTAGTTGACACCAAGAACAAAGTTTAAACTGAGTTTGTGGGAGGGGATAAGAGAAATCTGGGGAGCCAGTCCCCATGGAAGTGGAGCAGACAGTGAGAGAGATGATGGAGGGACCCAGGGCCTGCCAGCCTCTTGTCAGGGTCCAGAAACAGTATAATCTGGAAACACCAGAAAGAACCACATGCTCTTTCTTTCAAGGGGTTCATGTAAAGAGCGGTCGCAGACTGGGGACCGCGGTTATAGGCTGATGGGCAGCTGCTCCCTGGTTCGGCATGGACTCGGCATGGACTTGGACCATGGCGGTCATCAGGTGGCCTGGGCAATGGTGTGTTGCTGGCAGCAGTGGGCAGCCAGGAGCCAAGGGGCAGGCAGGCTGTAGCAGGGACAGGGGAGTGATGTCCCTTGGCAGTATATGGGGTAGGAAGGAGGCCCAGAAAGATCCGCCCACCCCACAAGCAGCCTGGATGCCCAGATGGGTGTTTCTGGAGGCTCTGTTGCCTAAGGAAACTCACTCCCCTTCCCGGACAAACCACTGGGGCGATTTATGAAAAACAGATGCTGGTTAAAGTCGAGGTGAAGGGATGGGGTTGAACTGAGCTTCTCCCCTCACCTCCTGAGCCCTGGTCAGCAGCAGACCCAGCCTGGCTACAGAAGAGGCCCTCAGATTACAGTGCACACATTTTATGAGCTAAAGAAGGGTCCACAAGGACTTT